CTTACAATCATGTGATCAATATTTGCAATTTCTCTGTAGGCTTCCTGAAAGTCAGTGAGGAAGCCTGCAAGGAAGGACTCAGGCCACCATCCGCTGGCTGGTTCCTGAGTACTGGCAGAAAAAGGTCCACCCCGAAATCCAAACTGACTTTTTTCAGCCAACTCCTGGACAGCAAAAGTGCTGGTGGGCAACGGGTGTGGAAGCTATTTATGGTATGGGAAATACAGTTAATTCAGACTTTAGAAATCATTATCTTACACACTCCATTCTGAGGGTATGGAACCGATATAAATGAAGGCTGTGTCTAAAATACCTTTGTGGATTTTGACCCAAGAAGCATGCTATGGGTGGCTTAAAAAATTAAAAGAAATAAAATACTGATATATATAGCAACAAAATTACAATACCTCTGAAATAACAAAAAGATAAATTCATGATAGAAGCATAATCAAATTACAAAGGCTTGATTTAGCAGGTGGCTTCCCTCTTCACAGCAATTTTTCACCCAAAGCCCATTGGAACAGCCAGAGTTGAGTTGGGATTGGAAGTAAGTGGCTCTTGTTTCCTATTTACAAACATGTACAAACTACTGTATGTACATGTACATGTACAAACTACTGTACAAATGCATAATTTTACCCAAACTCACATTGTAACAACCAGAGTTAAATTGGGACTGGAAGCAAATTCGGGCTGGAAGACTTTCCTATTTACAAACTACCTGTAACGTTTCACCAGACAGAGAAAAGTTGAGTTGGGATTGGAAGTATAATATCCAATGTTAGCAGACTTGACATGGCTCTTGTTTCCTATTTACCAACTACATGTAATACTTGAGCAGAAAGAGAAAAGCCTCCTACAACAAATGTTTAGATTTGGGGGTGGGTTAAGAACCAACTTTGCTGCTTTTTATCCTGAGTTTACTTCTGGTCTTTTAGCAGATGATCTGATTTTCAAACAGCTTTGGATGTTAAATAATACATGGTAAGTCTTTATATATTGTAAATTCAACACCTAAAGGAGAAAACTATAATTCCTGTGTAAAACATGCAAATTGCTACTCTGAGAAGTCTACTACTTATATGGAATTAAAAAAAAAAATTTAGCTTGTTCCTGATCTTTAGTTAAACAGATTTTTGATAAATTGTTTACAGGACATCAAATGAGGATTGACTAACATAGGTAAGATTTTCTCCAAGATAATCTCTTCTTTCACGATTTCCAGAGGAGGAGTATTTAATGAAAGTCATGGAAAACGAGGGGATCGGCGCCAGCTCCGTTAAACCGAAACCCTCGGTCCTCTACGCTCCCTTCTGCTCTAGCAACCCGGCAAACGAAGCGCCGGGAGAAACGCTTTACGCTTAGAGAGCAAGTCCCGTCTCCAGGAAGGGAGCATGGAGGAAAGGAAGCTCTCTGCTCCAGCCATCCTGCCGACCTCCAGGGCGAGGCTTCCCCTCGTTCGCAGCCCCGGATCCCACCTGCCTCCCCCTCCCGTCGCCCTCCCCGATTTCCATCCCGCGTCAGTCTCTGCATCTGACCGAGGCGGCTGCACTCACGAAGCTCCCGTTGTGCAAGGAAAGGTGTCAGCTGGAAAAGGGGCTACCAGGCGCCTTCCGACGTTCAGCCCCCGATCCGTCCGTCCTGCGCTGGACCCAGAGACCAAGGAGAGCCCCGCCTTTCAGCGGAGCCTCCCCGACTTCCATGCAGGGCGCAGGACCCGGGCAGGAGCAAGCGGCCGATGAAGAGGAGCGACGCCGAGATCATCGGTCCGTCCCTGCCCTTTGCGAGCACTGCAGTCCCAGCCTCCGCTTCCACCGCTCTCCTTTCAGCGAACCCCGCCCCTCTCCGAAGAAGAGCAGTGACGTACACATTCCGTGACGCCGGAAAAGAAAGATCCCCTTTCATTTTCTTCATATCAGGTCCATCTAGGAAGCACATATCTATCGTTCTGGCTCCTTGTTCTGTCACTTGAGATCAGGAGCGTGCATGAAATTGGCGGGAAGGATTTGCCGTTGCAAACCGGAGAAGGGGTTTCGGAGAGGTCCCCTTTCATGCTCTTCCTATCAGATCCACTCTAGGAAGCACACATCTATCGTTTTGGCTCTTTCTTGAGGCACGCGACCCCAGGAGCTCTCAGGAAATTGGCGGGAAGGATTTGCCGTTGCTCTCCTCAGGCGGGTAAAGGCCGAGTGAGCGGAGACCCATTTCTGCCCTCCTGCAAACCGAAGAAGGGGTTTCGGAGGGGCCGGGGGACATTTGCGACTCTCTCGAGCTTCTTTTGGCTGCCCTCGAGCAGGAGACCCGACGGAGGCCCAGGGATCCCCAGGGATGGAGGCCGCCCTCAGCCCAGAGATCCACCGGCGGCGCTTCCGCGGTCTGGACGGCTGCCGCCAGGAGGCCGAGGGGCCCCGGGAGCTTTGCAGCCGCCTGCACCGCCTGTGCCGCCAGTGGCTGCGGCCGGAGAGGAGCAGCAAAGGGGAGATGCTGGACCTGGTGGTGCTGGAGCAGCTGCTGGCCCTGCTGCCCGCGGAGATGGCGAACTGGCTGAGGGAGTGCGGAGCCGAGAGCTGTTCGCAGGCGGTGGCCCTGGCCGAAGGCTTCCTCCTCAGCCAAGCCCAGCGGGAAGAGCCGGGAAAGGGGCAGGTGAGGAGGGCGGGGGGCTTCGTCCTGGGAGCTCCATTGGGGGGTGGGTGGGAGGGAAGGATCAGAAATCTAGCCATCTCTAATAAGAGAGATTAAAAATATGACTGCAGCCTTTCCTGAAATTCCCCATATTTGGAGAACTAATTTCTTCTTGTTTCCTAAATTAATCTTTCTCTTCCTTAACACCTCTACATCCTTTAGGATGTTGTCCACATGTTTCATAATAATCAGTGTTTCTGTTGTGATCTGTTGTTATCTGAATCTAGATAAGGGGAAACAACTGGATTATGTGAATGGCCTCTGATAGAGAGCCACATTTAATAAGCTCTATAATACCGCAATTGTAAGAGAAATGAACTAATTAACACATCCTTACAGTTTATGTACATGAAAACACAGCCTGCTGTTCTAACTCCCCTCTGTTCATCATTTACCTAGAAATATAAGTCACATGTAGAGTCCCTGAATTATTTCTGAATTGGGTTGGGGAAATACAAGTAGGAAAGCAAAATGTAAGGAATACGAACTATCACAGATATTGTCCTCTGAAAATGGATTATGAATCAGTTTGTTCTTCAGATGCAGGAGCCGTTCACAGAGGAGATTTCAGCAGAGCTCCGGGGCAGAGGAGATGGATCCAGCTCTATTCAGGAGCTGTTTTTCAGGAGGACCCAACTCTGGCCACCTTGCCAGGTAAGTGCAGGTTTCTTCTGAGAACAGTAGCGTTCCAGCTCCATCCATTCAGAAGCTGTGTTTAATACCAAAAGCTGAGTCTGTGTGCACTTGAACACAGTGTCCACCCACATTTGGCTTTCAACATTCTGCTGGAAATGGAAAGGAGACAATTCACAGGCAGGAACTTTGTATTAGCAATGTAATTTATTTCTACAAAGAGTTTAACGCTCCATAATACTATTCAAAAAGTGTGCTTAAAACGAGTTAGAAATGAAACCCATGTACTGAAACAGTAATAGTGGGATTAAACATACCTGAGAAGTGTTTGTTTATTTTATTAAATATTTATGCCACCTGTCTCCCTTGTAATGTGTCTGTAAATATACCAAGAAAAATAGCACATGAAGGATAAGCCAGTAAGTCAACACTAAGTGGCTGTAACAATAAAATTGTTGTTCAAGTGACTTGGGATTTCAAGGACGTTTCCAATATTTTGAAATAGGTTAGGAAAGAAGTTCCTAGTGACTATGTCCTGTTTTCTCAGGAATTTGGTCAGCGAGGCAAGTAAGTCTAGGGGATTTTATGCCGAAAACCTACTTGTTCAGTTATTCCAAGCCACTGGGAAGCTCCCCAAGGGTGCTTATGTTGCATTCTACAACCTGGAAGCAGCTAAGCCATGATTTGTGCAACTGCAGCTTCCCAACCCCAAGGACTGTGTTCACATGAAGACATGAATCTATCCTGAAAGAAAATGTCTATTTCAGGGCTTTTCAACCTTTCCCCCCATTGTACCACTTTTAGGATATGGCAACATCCGAATACAGTCACCTAGCAAGGTGTCAAAAACTTGATGACCAAAAAAAATATGAAAAAAATGATAAAGTACTGGTAGTCCTCGACTTACAACAGTTCGCTTAGTGACTGTTCAAAGTTACAATCGCACTGAAAAAAGTGCCCCACAAGCCACAGCTGAGCAAGACAGCGCCCGGCGGCACTCTTCCTCCTGTCCGAGGTTTTCATTATTGTGAGCATTTCTGTTGAGGATTGGCAGCGGGGGTGGGTGGGAGGGTGTTTGGTTTTTATTCCTCCCATCTGCTGGGTGGTTGCAGCAGGTTTTGGTCACTTCACATGACCCTGGGACACTGTAACCCTCATAAATATGAATCAGTTGCCAAGCATCTGAATGTAAATCACAAGACCCTGGAGATGCTGCAACATTCCAGCTCATTGGCGCTTCTTCTGGGCTCAGCAGAAGTGCCAGGATCAGTGCTGCTTTCCAGCTGATTGGTGCTTCTTCAGGGCTCAGCAGAAGCACCAGGATCAGCATAGAGCTCCAGCTGGAGCCTGGTGCTGATTCTGGTGCTTCCACTGAGCCCTGACAGCCTTGAAGAAACACCGATCAGTTGGAAAGCGACACTGATCCTGGCGGTTCCGCTCAGACTTGTGCGGTGCTGCCACCGGTTCAGCTCATTCCCCTCCCCCATTACCACTTTTCTAGGATGGTCGCGTACCACCTGCCAGGTGTCAATGTACCACAGGTGGTACCTGTACCACTGGTTGAAAAGCCCTGGTCTATTTGATCTCTTGCTAATGTGTGTTTTCTGTAAGAGAGAAAATTTTCAACTGTTTCCTGGGATTGTCTGCTTTTTTTCTCTTTCTAGAGCTCTGATTCCTTTAAGGAGATGACTGTGAACTTCACGGATGAGGAGTGGAGGCTGCTAGATTCTGGCCAGAAGGCCTTCTGCAGAGACGTCATGCAGGAGATTGCTGGGAATATGGCTGCCTTGGGTAAGACCAGGATGTTCATCTCCCTATAAGGCCGTGGCAGAAATACTCATAAATTTGGGAAATATCCTAGATGCTCCGTGGAAGGGACTGAGTAGATTGACTGATCCGCACCAAAGCTTTAATCTGTTTTTTTTTTTACTGAAAAAAATTCTTTCTGTACAATCAAAGACTCTTAGATAACAATTTGCAGATATCACATCCTGGCTAGACAAGTGAATTGTACCAAACCTGGAATACAGATTGGCATGTTTTTTGAGTGGTGGGGGAAGACACACCTCCTGAAGCTTCTAAATTCTAATCAAAATGTTAATTTTCTTTTTTTCCATGCAGATGATGTATCTGTGAATGAGAACGACAAGCAGGGAAGGTTAAATCTACTCCAAATAGTGAAGAATGAATTACAAGTACAAACCCTAGGCCATCAAAGTGACACCAAAAACCTAAAGAGAAACGAGCCAGAAGATGGAATGGAGAAGTTACCCACTTCTCTTCCTGTTCGTATTTGTGGCTTCCTATCCCAGGAAGATCAGAGGGAAATGAGAAATTGTGGGGGAGATTCCAGTCTGAGCAAAAAGAGGAAATTGTGCATACAGTGTGGAAAATATTTCTATAGCAAAGGTAATTTTAATCGCCACCAAAAAATCCACACTGGGGAGAGACCATATAAGTGCATGGAATGTGGAATGACTTTTACTAGGAATGGAAATCTTAAGCGTCACGAAATGATGCACTCTGGGAAGAGACCATATAAATGCATGGAATGTGGAAAGACCTTTACCCGAAAAGGATGTCTTAATCTTCATAAAAGGACGCACACTGGAGAGAGATCATATGAATGCATGGAATGTGGAAAGATCTTTATCCAGAAAGGACATTTTAGTCTTCATCAAAGGATCCATACTGGGGAGAGACCGTATAAATGCACAGAATGTGGAAAGAGTTTCATTTGCAACAATAAACTTAATCGCCACCAAAAGATTCACACCATGGAGAGACCACATAAATGCATGAAATGTGGAATGACCTTTACATGGAAAGAACATCTTAATCTCCACCAAAAGATCCACACAGGGAAGATACCATATAAATGCATGGAATGTGGAAAGACCTTTATCAAGAATGTACATCTTAATCTTCATCAAAGGATCCATACTGGGGAGAGACCATATAAATGCACGAAATGTGGAATGGCCTTTACCAGGAATGGAAATCTTAATCGTCACGAAAAGATGCACTCTGGGGAGAGACCATATAAATGCACAGAATGTGGAAAGACCTTCATTAGCAAGAATAGACTTAATCGCCACCAGAAGATTCACATTGTGGAGCTATCATATAAATGCATGGAATGTGGAAAGATCTTTACCCGAAAAGGATATCTTAAACTTCATAAAAGGATCCATACTGGGGAGAGACCATATAAATGCACGAAATGTGGAATGACCTTTACCAGGAATGGAAATCTTAATCGTCACAAAAAGATGCACTCTGGGGAGAGACCATATAAATGCACAGAATGTGGAAAGAGCTTCATTAGCAAGAATAGACTTAATTGCCACCAGAAGATTCACATTGGGGAGCAATCATATAAATGCATGGAATGTGGAAAGATCTTTACCCGAAAAGGATATCTTAAACTTCATAAAAGGATGCATACTGGAGAGAGATCATATAAATGCATGGAATGTGGAAAGACCTTTATCCATAAAGGAAAATTTAATCTTCATCAAAGGATCCATACTGGGGAGAGGCCATATAAATGCACAAAATGTGGAATGAGCTTTACCAGGAATGGAAATCTTAATCGTCACGAAAAGATGCACTTTGGGGAGAGACCATATAAATGCACAGACTGTGGAAAGAGCTTCATTAGCAAGAATAGACTTAACCTCCACCAAAAGATTCACACTGGGGAGCAATCATATAAATCCATGTAATGTGGAAAGATCTTTGCCTGAAAAGGATATCTTAAACCTCATAAAAGGATGCATACTGGAGAGAGAACATACAATTTCATGGAATGTGGAAAGAACTTTACTCAAAAAGAAAAACTTAATCGTCATGAACCACGGGACTCTATCAGGGTTTTTTTCCAAAGTGCCCAACCTCTTGTCACAGTGGCATCCACACAAGATAAAATTGGAAATACCTGAGAAGTGGAACCACCATCACTGAGTGTGCTTAATTCTCATAAAATGATCCACTCAGGAAAAATAAATGAAATCCGTGGATTGAGCTTTATTCTCAGCAACCAACTTAATTGTCATCCCAGGATCCAGACATGGCAGAGAGCTTACTAATTCATGGAATGTGCAACAATCTGGTTTGTATGGAATCTTGTTTACCATCCATGTAACTACAGAGAAGAAACAGGACAAGCACTAGAATTTGGAAATTGCTGATGTTGGATCAGTGACCTTACTGATGCCTTTTTTCTTGAGGCCAGCACCATGTTTCCCCGAAAGTAAGACCCCGTCTTACTTTCTTTTGGGCTCTGAAATAAGCACTAGGACTTAATTTCGTGTAGGGCTTACTTTTTGCCAGTACCAGCAGGCTGCAAGCACCTGGGGTGTAGACGCAACATGGCGAGAGCGTGGTGATGGACCAAGTACCTGGGCAGGGTGCGTGCCCTTCCCGTGCTAGGCCAGTCCCTGCAGCCCTGGGGCAGCCATGCTAGGTGGCGGGAAGGGCACTGAGGTGGCCAGGCCGATGTTCCTCCAGCCAGAGTGGGGAGCCTTTGCCCCGGGGATCTGGGAGGCCATCTTCCTGGTCTGGCTGGGCATTCCTGAGAGGTGAGGGTGGCAGCAGCCCAGGACCAAAGAAGCAGATGGAGCACCGGAGCTTTGGGGAGGGAGGGTGCTGAACCGAGCGGACCTGCCATCAACGCCCATGCTGGCTGCCCCTTCCCTGTGCAGGGAAAGAAAAGAAGTTTGTGGTGGTAGTGGTGGGGGGAAAGCTCAATCAATTCCAATTTCTCACGAAACAATCTTACGAAGTTGGAATTGATTGATTGACCTTTCCCTCAAACTTCTTTTCTTTCCCTGCATGCGGCAATGGAAGAGCATGAAGGAGAAACGGGATAGGGCTGGAAGTCAGGTAAGCAAAGACATGCAATTCCTGGGGGAAGCAAGGGCATCTGGGTGGTGGTGTGGCAAGCTCTCCAGCTCCAAGGGGAAGGAGCAGTTGGGATGGGTGTTGATGGCAGGACGCTTGCTCGCTTCAGCATCTTCCCTCCCCAAACCTCTGGTGCTCCACCTACCGCTTTGGTCCTGAGCTACCGTCTCCCCGCTCGTCTCTCAGGTGGGCCCGGCCAGGCCAGGAAGGCAGACTCCCTAGATTTCCAGGGCAAAGCCCCCCCTCCAGCTAGAAAAGCGTCGGCCTGGCTGCTCCCACCTCAGTGCCCTTCCCTCTGCCACCCGTCACGGCCACCTAGGGACGGCAGGGGAAGGCCTGGCATGGGAAGGGCACTGTGATTACCCAGGGCATGGCACAGAGGCAATGCAGTCAGCTGGCAATTCAAACCGCCCTTTAATTGCTCCAAATTTTCCCAAAATGCTCCCACGTTTCTGGCAGGCCCCAGAACAAAGTAAGACACACACACACACACCTTCAGCAGCCTCTGGCTGCAAGTAGTTTTAAAAGTTGTTAACCCTCCTTCAGGTTTCAATGCACACACAGATTAGAAGAGTAATTTACTCAAGGCCACATAGATCAGGGCTTTTCAACCTTTTCACTGATTGTACCACTTTTAGGATATGGCAATATTCGAGTACCACCTAGCAAGGTGTCAAAAACTTGATGACAAAAAAAAACAACCTGTTCAAAGTTGCAATTGCACTGAAATGACTTATGACCATTTTTCACACTTATGACCATTGCAGCATGCCCAGGGTCACGTGATTTATATTTGGATGCTTGGCAACTGATTCATATTTATGATGGTCACAGTGTCCCAGGGTCATGTGATCCCCTTTTGCAACCTTTTGACAAGCAAAGTCAATGGCAGGGCTGCTGGTGGCCAAGTGCTAAGGCGGGACTTCCCTCCCTCTCTCCTTCCCTGCTCCCTCTTTCTCATGCCCATCTCCTTCTGAAGAAAGAATTTGAACCCCCCCCCCCCAATTTTCTCTTTTCCATATATTCATCAAACAAGGAAAAGCCTCCAGAGGCAGAAAATACAAACTGCTGAGTGAACTAGCTTTAAAAGGCACATTCCCCTTTAAGAATTAGCTATTGGCTAGAAAGGAAAGGAGTGCAGCTGGCACTTAAGGAAGCTGGCTAAGGCAGCCTCCCCAAATGGCTCCATTCATAAGTAAAGGAATGCTACAGGCAAAATCCATTCAGGAGAAAAATACTTCAAAATCCCTTGCAGCAAAACTTACAGCTAACAATAGCAGAGCAATAGAAGCTAACAGGAGACATCAGCCATCAGCCAAATAGAAATTGCCAAACACTTCTTACGAACACAAAGCCCACATTGCACAAATCCCAGAACTTCAAAGTCACAAAAGAACATAAGAATCCTTCCACTCTCCATCTCCCTCCCTCCCTCCCCCTTGCCTCACCTCCAGCCATTGCTGCCTTTTTTCATTCCTCTTGGAGGGCGACTCCTCCCCAACTGCATTTCTTGCCCGTTTGCTGCCGCCAGCACAGGTAGCTGCCACAGCGGTTGTAGATCGGCTCATGGCTAGCCTGCTTGATCTCCTCTCCCCGCACCCTCCTCCTCCTTTTCGGTGCAGCTAGAGCTGACTCTGCCTCCTCCCAAGGCTGCTGCTTTTTTTCTCTCCCCCCCCCCAAACTGCCTCCTTTTATAGCCTCTCTTGTCTCCACCCCCCTCCTCCTCATTTCTCATGAGGGAGGGTGAGCCAGAAGTGAGCCTGGGGCCTTTGCCTCACCCCAGCCACTCTGAGGCTCCAGAGGACTCTCTCGCAGTAAGTCCTTGCCTGCGCTGGCTCTTTCCCTCCCTCACTACGCTTGGCTAGGTAGGGCTGCGTACCACCTGCCACTCATTAATGCATCACAGGTGGTACGTGTACCACCGGTTGAAAAGCCCTGACATAGATAACAAGGAAAGAAACATACATCCAAAATCTAAGGAGTCTGTGGAAATACAAGCTTGCCTGAATTCTATCCGAGGTCTTTGAACACCAAATCAAGTTTGTCAGCCAGTCCAATGGTCAAGAGTTTCAGGCTTTCCAAGCAGAAATCGCAACACAGAACAAGAGATCAGAGAGTTGTTTCCAAGATCAGCAACAGCACACAAAACTCCAAGAAATCAGTGTTTGTTCCCGACAAATGTCCCTCCCCACAGCATCTCCTTAAGTGTCAGTCTCCAGGTGTGCCTTGTGGAGAGGGGCGGGGCGTTCTCCTGAATAGTTGAGCCTGCCTGCATTGTTCCCTCCTTCTCTCCACTCCGTGCTCTAGGATGAGGAGGGGGTGGCCCTTGCTCATTGCCTGAGCTCTCTCATGTTCATCCTGTCCCAATCCTGAAAGGCCCTGGCCTGTCTCGGCCTGTTCTTCCCCACATCCCTCTGAAGCCACAGATACCTCTCCCTCGAGCTCCATAGGCTCCAGTTCCAGCTCATTTTCCTCAGCAGATTCAGGCTCCGACAGAGGCATGACAGGCACATGCCCCGCCCACCCACACAGGTACTTGGTCCACAAAACAAGCTGGGCAGTGGTAAGGAACCGATATACCGTTGGCTAACAGGGCATGTTGATCAGATCCCCAATCCCCCATCAGCTTTGCCTCATCGCAGAGGCACTGGCAGCTCCCCCCCCTTACCTTGTGTCTGTGGTGAAACCAGACAGAATCGGGCAGCCGTCTGTGCAGGTTCCTAAGTAGGGCTTACTTTCGGAGGGAGGGCTTATATTAGGCCCACCTCCGAAAATCAGCTGGGGCTTATTTTTGGGGAAACACGGTACTTCTGTTTCCTCTGTGAGATAATTCATGAAAGTCAAGCCTATGTTAATCTCCAACCTCCCTGAGGGGTGTAAAAACCAGAGATTGGGGAAGGGGCCACAATGCATTCTCTACCCTCCCGTTCTTTCTTCTACTGCAGAAATTAGTTGAGGCACTTTTTCCATTTCAACTGATATTGTTCAAATTATTTATGCTCGTTGACAATATAGCAAACCTTATTGTTAAGGTCTTATACCCCTCTGTTTCTCCTTTTTACAAAGAATCAATGAGAAAAGACTTCTGTGGAACACGGATAGGGATGGGGTAATGGTATGTGGAAATGACTTTGGGAGATGGGGAAGACTTGCAGACTCAACAACCATCATGTAAAATATATCCTAATCCCCAGAAGAGGACCCCAATTTTCTTCAGCCTTATTCTGGCTTTCTTCCTTTGCCAACTAGCCTTCCATGTCAGTGCTTTTAAATCATCAAATAGATCTCCCTCTATTATTATATATATTATGTGAAATAAGAGAGACCATTTAGTTGCCATTTTTTTTTGGAAGGACTAGCCCATTTGTGTTCATTAGATCGTCTCCCTATTATTCCAATTCCCCATGATTGTCCTGATATGTTTATGTTCTGTTCATTCTGTTCTTCTTTCTCCTCAAATTTCTTCTGATTTATATAGAAAGTCTTTTCCATTTTCACTGTTGTCACTCCCTTTTCTGGATTTTCCGCTAACTGTATTTGTTGGTCAATTGAGTCCTCTGTCTTAGTATTTGATTGTTCCACTTCTTCTGTTATCTTCTGCATTGTTAGTTCTTTGGTTGTAGTCAAAATTTGGGTTTGTATATCTAAGCTGGCATCGTTCTTTTATGTTGCATCTTATTTTGTCACAAGCTGAAATAATGGTTTCATGTACTGCTTTCAACATGGAAAGGATCTTTTCCTGGTCTTCATCCATATTCTCTTAATAGTGTATTAAGTTGAGGACTTTAAAATCAGATGTTAAAAATAATTTGTATACCTAGGT